CGTCGCCAACTCAAATGTACTCGTGTTGGTCGACTCGCTGCGGTGCAAGTTGTAGGAGAACTATGCCGTGTCCATCAACTTCACCCAATCTCGTTGGTTTGCACTTATGTAGTGCCGCAAGTACACCTCCAACAAGGCATTCAACCGCTCCGTCTGTCCGTCGCTTTGAGGATGAAATGTCGTCGAGAAGTTCAAGTCTGATGATGAAGTCCATGCTTACACTCTCCCATGGTCGTTGAGGCGTGGGCAAGGGCTCTAGCAAGCCTGCCGGGCTTCTCTGCTCCATCTTGTCTTGTTGGCACACAAGACAAGTCTTCACATATAACTCTCGCCAAAATCGGCCCGTGAAGCGCCCATCTCTGTCTCTCAAGATGTTGCTAGGAACGCCCCAATACTTGACCACATTCTTGAAGAATTGCAGCGCCGCATCCTCTGCCGTCATGTCTTTTGGGCCGGGGATGAACACTCCATACTTCGAGAACATGTCCACAACAACCATGATGCAACCGCATCCATCGACTTTGGGAAGTCCGATGATGAAGTCCATGCTTACACTCTCCCATGGTTGTTGAGGCGTGGGCAAGGGCTCTAGCAAGCCTGCCAGGCTTCTCTGCTCCATCTTGTCTTGTTGGGACACAAGACAAGTCTTCACATACATCTCCACGTCGTCTCTCATACGCGGCTAGAAGTATGCTTCTTCGATGAGCGCTTGCGTTCTCTCGATGCCGGGATGGCCCGCCCACTTGGAATCATGGCACTCTTTCATGATCTCTTTCCACAAGTTGGCCCACCTTGGCACGAACACACGCTCTCCCTTGGTCATGATGAGCCCATCCTTCATCCAAAACCGTCGAGTCTTGCCTTGCTCGATGTACTCCGCTACGGTTTTGGCGAAGAGGTCATGGCCAAGGCTTTCAACGATCCGCTCCTTCAAAGGAAACATGGGTTGGCTGATGCTTGCGGCTGCACTCTTGCGGCTAAGAGCATCTGCGACGGAGTTCGCCTTCCCTGGATTGTACTCCATGACGAAATCGAACTCGGCCAAAAAATCTTGCCACCTCGCTTGCTTAGGGGTGAGCTTCTTCTGCGTCAGAAAGTAGCTCGTTGCCACGTTGTCCGTCTTCACTACGAACTTTGACCCCAACAAGTAGTGCCTCCATGTGCGCAAGCAATGCACCACGGCCGTCATCTCCTTCTCTTGAACGGTGTATCGCCTCTCCGTCTCGCTAAGCTTCCGACTCTCGAAGGCAATGGGATGCCCATCTTGCATCAACACTCCTCCAATCGCGAAGTCGGATGCATCGGTCTGCACTTCGTAGGCCAACATCGGGTTGGGGAGCACGAGCACGGGCTCCTTCACCACTGCTTGCTTCAAGGCCTCGAATGCTTCTTGGCACCTTTCCGACCAATCCCACGCCTTGTTCTTCTTCAAGAGATCCGTCAAGGGTGCTGCAATGTTGGAGTAGCCCTTGATAAACCTCCGATAGTAGTTGGCAAGGCCGAGGAATGACCGCAACTCTGGAACCTTCGTCGGCGGCTCCCATTCTTGGATTGCCTCCACCTTTGCTCCATCCATCTTCAACTTGCCTCCACCAATGATGTGCCCCAAGAATGGAACCTCCGTGGCGGTAAATGTGCACGTCTCCCTCTTGACATACAACTCGTTGTCGCGAAGGACTTGGAAGACTTGGCGTAGATGCTCGGCATGCTCGTCGAGTGTTTTGCTATACACGACGATGTCATCCAAGTAGACCAAGACAAACCGGTCCAAGAATGGCTCGAACACTTGATTCATCAAAGTGCAAAACGTGGCTGGTGCGTTGGTGAGACCGAATGGCATCACAAGAAACTCGTAAGAGCCATACCCCGTCACACAAGCCGTCTTTGGCTCATCGCCCTCTGCTATCCGCACTTGATAGTAGCCCGAGCGAAGATCAAGCTTGGTGAACCACATCGCATCTCCAAGCTGGTCGAACAAGTCGGCAATGTGGGGAATCGGCCACTTGTTCTTCACCGTCAACTTGTTGATGGCTCTATAGTCGATGCACATCCGCAAAGACCCTTCCTTCTTCTTTTGGAACAGCACCAGTGCTCCAAAAGATGACTTCGATGGCCGCATGTAGCCTGCGTCCACCAAGTCCTTGAGCTGCCTCCGCAACTCCTCTAACTCCGGTGGCGACATGCGGTATGGTGCTCGCGAAGGGGGCTTCGCTCCTGGCTCTAACTCGATCTTGTGGTCCAGCTCTCTTCTTGGTGGCAGCTTCTTGGGCAACTCTGATGGCATCACGTCGTCGAACTCCTCGAGGACGCCTTCGATGATCGGAGTTGTGATTCCCGTTGAGCCTCCTTCTTCCCCCATTTTCAAGGACACAAGAAAGGTTGGTTCATTCTTCTTGAACCCCTTCAATACCTGCATGGCCGAAAGAGCACTATGGGGGCCATCTTCTCGCAAGAGATGGACCGCATGAAACTCCCCCTCCTTCTCCAAGCACATCGTGTTGGATTTGGGCTTCAAGAGCACTCCCTCCTTGTCGAGGAAGTTGATGTCGAGGATGACTGGGTGATCGTCCATGGTGACGACGGAAAAGTCGATGAGGCCTTCCCACTCGCCAAGCTTCACTGGCACGTTGTGAGCAACTCCATGGATTGGGATGGACTCCGAGTTGATCGTCTTGAGCCTCCCTTGCCCCTTCTCGTAAGCAATACCCAGCCGGTTTGCCTCCTCGATGCGAAGGAAGTTGTCCGTGGCACCGGTATCCACCAAGGCTTTTGACTCGCCTTGCACGAATTGCGCCAGAACATAGCACCTCCCACGCTTGCTCTCCTTGACGTCGGTCTTCACCGCGCCAAGCTTGCGGATTGAGCCAATCTTGGCCTCCGCCGCCTTGGGCTCCTCTTCTTGAGCTTCCATGGCCGCCAATCTCGCCTTTCTTGGGCAATCCCGCACTCGATGTGGTCCGTCGCAAAGGAAGCAAGACATGGGTTTTGGCTCGTACTTACCCCCTTTGCTCGAACCACCTTGGTGTTGTTGAGTGCGAGCACCCTCCTTGATTCTGCTGCTCTCCACCCTTGTTGGGCTTCGAACTCTTCTCTTTGCCGCTGCTCTCTTGCCTTTTGTACTCAACAAAAGACTCCGCCGTGGCCATGGCAGTTGCAAGGTCTTGCAATCCTCGACGTTGCATCTCCATCTTGGCCCATGGTTGCAGCCCATCAAGAAAGCCGTGCATGGCCTCCTTGTCCATGATGTCCGGGATCTCTAGAAGCAGCTCCGAGAATTCTTTCACATATTCTCGAACTCCACCCCTCTGGGTGAGTCTTCTCAACTTCGAACGGGCTTCAAACTCCACGTTCTCCGGGTAGAACTGCTTCTTGATTTCTCTCTTGAAATCTTCCCACGTTACCATCACACAAGTACCTCTTTCGACGTCCGCTACACGTCGCCTCCACCACACCATGGCAACATCAACCAAGTAGAGTGGAGCGGTACGAAGTTTTACCTCATCCTCTTGGATGCCGGATGCCTTGAAGTATTGCTCAAGACTCCAAAGGAAGTTCTCTAACTCCCTCGCGTTCCTTGAACCTCCAAAGTTCTTCGGTCTTGGAACATCAGCACGTGGGACGGATTGCACCGGGGCTGATCCGCTAGCCATGGCTCTCTTCACGAGAGTGACCTCACTCTTGAGGTCTGCAATCTCCTCCTTCACGCCGACCAGCTCAGCCTGGACATGCTCTTTTACAACTTCAATGGCGTTGTTCATGGAGGCGGTGATGGTGTTGTTGATGAGAGCCACGAGCTCCTCCCGTATCCCATCATGGTTGATCTCCAAGGTTGTCAACCTACCGGCCATTCCTTGAACATCGCTTTGGACTTGGGCGACGTTACCACCCAAATCCTCGATGGCAGTGATATCTTCCGCAATCTTCACTTCCACTCGAGCGACACGCCTCTCTAGCGCCGCCATAGGATCACGAGTGCTTGACTTGTCACCCTTTGGCTTGGGATTCTTGGTGTGATCCCTTCCACGCTTCTCGTGCTCGGTAACGCCGCTATCTGATCCCGACATTTTTGGTGAGGTTCTTCCTTTCCTTCTGGCTCTAGGTTCAACTTTGCTAGCACAAAGCCGAACCAGGCTCTGATACCACTTGTCACGACCTTACTCTCGATCGTGCGGCCCTAGCTCTCAAATCCGTTAGAGCGCTAGACAGCCTTTCTCTCAACTCACTTGAAAGCAAAGAACAAGAACAAAGACAAAGGAATTGGGGAGAACTCTCTAGTGTGTATTACTCTCCAAAAATGATGGAATGAGTTACAGGTGAGGGAGATGGCTCCTTATATAGGCCTCTCCTCATACAAGGCATCAATGCCCCTCATAATGGTCCCTCTACTACATCAATACACCCCATAAAGTCCCCCCATAATGCACTCTAATAATGCTACCTCATAATGTAGCTCATAAGTGCACCATTAAGCTCTCATTTAGGTGGAGAATCCTAGGAGCATCTCTATGCTACTAGTCTTCCATACATGCCACATGTGCAGCCGCCTTGTTGTCACCTTGTTGGCCCCATGTCATCTGCCACATGTGACAAGAACCAGGGGAAGCCGGCTCTACACTATTCCGTCAGCCAAACAGATCCCATACTTGTGGCTAAGAGGAAAACGAGGATTCAGGAAAAGATATTATTTTGGATTTTATTACATTTATTATGAGTATTTAATAGAGGGAAAAATCTAGCTCACAAGCCACAAGTCGAACCCTTCTATAACTGTTGCAGACACATTACCCCATTCCATTTCCCATCATTAGTCTCCTCCAAGTCGCCAATAATGCAAGAGCTAGATGCATAATTCATCCATTTATCTGTTTGTGTTCCCGTAGGTTGAGATGACTCCTCCTTTTGCAAATGTTGGTAGGACGTAATTTGGTAGTGATAATTACCTATTCCAAGTCAAAGCCCCTTCTCCCCTCAAAGAAAGCCGAGCATTGTAGATTTAGAACATGGCATCCATTTCAGCGAACTCTGAAGCTGATCGACTGGCGCAGCTAAAGGCCTTCGACGCAACGAAAGCCGGTGTGAAAGGGCTGGTAGATGCGGGAGTGAGAGAAATCCCTCCTATCTTCTACACGCCGCCTGATATCATGGACAACAACAAATCAAGTGATGACAAGAAGTTCACCTTCCCCGTCATTGACCTCGAAGGCACGGCCACAGATCCTGCCAAGCGGAAGGAGATCGTCGAGAAAGTTCGAGATGCTTCCTCCACTTGGGGATTTTTCCAGGTCCTTAACCATGGAGTTCCACTCAACGTCCTGGAGGAGATGAAAGCCGGAGTGAAGAGGTTCTACGAGCAAGATCTCGACGAGAAGACTAAGTTCTTCTCACGTGACTACAGTACTAGAAAGGTTGCTTACAACAGCAACTATGACTTGTACACCGCGCCGGTCACTAATTGGAGAGACACCAGATCCACCCAAGCCCGACGAACTCCCTGCGGCTAACAGGTATGATACAATCGTTCGATAGTGATATAAGATTCAATCGACGGTAGAAGAAGAAAAAAAATAGTCCAGGTGGTAAGACATGATGGTTGGTACGATTTGCTACGAACATTTTGAGCAACAACTTCAAACTATATACAGGGAAATCCTGATGGAGTATTCCAAGGAGATGGTTAAGATGGGCTACCTGATCATTGAGCTGCTCTCGGAGGCTCTAGGACTTGACCCAAATTACCTGAGAAATAAGGATTGCTTGATGGGACATTACTTGGTGTGTCATTATTACCCACCGTGTCCTCAGCCTGATCGTACTTTGGGGTCAAGCAAGCACACAGACACTGATTTCATGACCATTCTCCTACAAGATCATGTTGGGGGGCTCCAAGTGCTCCATCAGGATCAGTGGGTTGACATAACTCCACTCCCAGGATCCCTTGTAATCAACATCGGAGATTTGCTTCAGGTAATATGTTGACAGCTTCGAGCGCGAGAAGCTTACTCTCGATCGAGAGTTTCCTCTTCTTTTCCTACCTGAAACCCTAACTCAATTTCGACCAGATACAAGTGAGAGATACCAAGAATCACAAATGAAATGAAAATGAGTAATAAAATTGCTGATCGAATTTTAGATAAAAAGCTGGGCCAAACGCCTCAAGCCCAAGTTTTCCTTCTCACTGATCCAATAGCCCAGAGCAGTAGTGAAGTTCTAATTCACACGGTGCGTTTCAAGACCGAGGCTTCTTCTTCTTCCCTGTCCTTCACTGATCTGAATCCCCTGCTTCAAATAAACTCTTAACCAAGCAGACACTATCAGACCTGAACAGAGTAAGACTCGCACCAAGCACACACAGAACAAAAGATTAAAGACACGATCGGTTTTTTACGTGGTTTCCAGAGTTGGGTCAATTGATTCCCAACTCTGACTATTCCACGGTCGGAATATCACGATGATGTGATTTCCGACGTTCCACTACTCCTGCGGATTGTTTCTTGATTACAAGGATGAGCAGCTCCGAAATCTCTCAATCCAATCCAGGACTGATGATTGATTCAACTCACACTCAGCTTTCTCACTAGCAATCCTGCTACCCGTGTTTCACACAACACAATCCCCTGACCCAAATTCTCTCCAGAAATAGGATCAACCTGGCTTTTCTTATCACTCACACTCGCTACACCTTTAGCTTCTCCTGTATGAATGATCTTCCGAAAAGTATCTGATCCTCTTCCTCTTCAGCCCCTTTTTATTTGCAATCATCGTACCGTTGCCTTCCCTTTCCTTTTCATCCCTTGAATTGGTTTATGGCAAGAAGTTTGAAAACTTTCCTTCTTGACCTTTTCTACCCGTTCTTAGTTTCTTGTTCAGCACGAAAGATATGAGCTTGATTTGGCTTCGTTTGACAGGTTCTTCATTCGACAAGCTGCCTGCCTCCAACAATCTCCCCCTCAGCTTGTCAATGATTCCTTCTTAAGAGACTGTTGTTCCTGCATGCTTTTCCTGCACACAGTTCAGCAAACGGTTACGTGCAGACTGTTCTAACCAGAGTTGTATGAAAATAAGCACACTACGAGTAGAACCGAAAGAAACTTCTTTTATTTCAAGATCATATCGACTGCTCACAGCATACGACTCATAAGACTGGAAACTGACACACTCGACTGGCCACAGACATTCTCTACGCACACTAGTGCACACAAACTCTAGACTCTAAGACTTCACATGCTCTTTTCAGAGCTTTATTCATCAAACAGAAACAAGACTCTACTGGTTCTACTCCAGAATTTGGTGCTTACTCAAGCTCCCCCTACACAGGACACCTATTAACTTTAGAATTCAAAGGTTGGAGATGACAGGTAGTCCGAGATTTCTCCATCATTTTCACCCAGCCCATCTTCCAGGTCGGCAATACTGAGTCCTTCTTCACCATCATCAGAGCTTTCAACTGCTAATGGTTCCTCTGGAACAGCTTCATCAACTGTGTCAATTTCTAAGGGCACAGCAGGAACTACTACAGTCCCTTCTCCCCCTGAAGCATTGACACGAGGACGCCTACGACCAACAAAGGCATTCACTTTGCGAAGGACAAACTGAGCACGAAGAGTATCGATTAGGTCAACCCGAGCCACTTTGTAGCGAAGATCAATACCCAGGCCACGAAGCAGCATAGTGATTTGGGGAGCAAAGGGGAGTTCCTCATTATAATTGTCATCACAGTAGTGAAGCATGTGACTAAACATGAGATGAGGATAGCTGATAGGACGATTTTCTTTGGCACTAGCCAAAATCCACATGTCCATAGGATAAATCCTATTGAGCCCATGAGAACGAGGGAAGAAAACCCTAGTGATGAAGAAATGAAGTACTTTGAGATCATCAGGAAGACGTCCAGTGGCAAGTTGAGACGAATGATATTCACCTGTATCCCTGGTGTACAGACGAATAGCTTCAACTTCATTGAAGCCAGCTTCCTGGAAGTCGCCTTCATCCAGAACCTCAGCACCAGCAACCGGATACCCAAGGAGATAGGACAGGATGTCCACCGTGACAGTGATCAAATAGTTATACACCACAGTGGTGAAAGTAGGAGGATCCGTGTTGAAGCAGGGTTGCATGTTAGCATAAAACATGCGGACAGCCTCTGGACGAAAGCTGTAGCATTGATCCAGAGGAAGATTCGACCATCCCACAGCATTGATTAACCCAGGAATGTTCATGTCATATCGATTGAATCGAGCCGGATCAAGAGAAATGGAGGGACACAGAGGGCGATCTTGGAATTTGATGAGATAGCGAGCATAATCTTCAGCGTTTCTGAAGCCTTTGCCAGTGAAGATGGCTGCCTGAGCCAGATGCAGAGGAACTTCGGGATTGATGCCAGCCATACTGGTTTAGGGAAGGGGAAGGGTTTTAATGAGATAGTACGAGAAGAATGATAGACCTCCTTACCAACCCTACGAGGGTATAAATAGTGTTGTAGACAGAAGGGAAGATGTGGTAGGGCGAATACTGAAATCGAACTTATGGTAGGAGAGGATTAGAATGGGGAAGAGAATATTTTCTGATCCTAGAGCTGACAAAGAAGGGTAAGTCTTGGTCCTAAAGAAAAGGAGGAGTCATTCACATATAACGGTATTCAGTGAATCAGAATCACTTCAGATTCTCAAGTTCTGACCAGGAAAACATACCAAGTTCACGACGATTCGTGAGAAAAAGTTCTGAGCCCAAGGGCTTAGTGAAGATATCAGCCCATTGACTGGAAGTGGGGACAAATTCCAAAGCAATAACTCCTTCCTCAACCAAATCTCTAATGAAATGGTATCTGATTTCTATATGTTTTGTTCGAGAGTGCAAAATAGGATTCTTTGTCATGTTGATGGCGCTGGTGTTATCACACAGAACAGGGAGGGTTTTTAACTCAAGACCATAGTCTTGGAGTTGGTGTTTCATCCACAGAAGCTGAGTACAACAGCTCCCAGCTGCAATGTACTCTGCTTCTGCTGTGGATAATGCCACGGAGTTTTGTTTCTTGCTAAACCAAGAAACCAGAGAAGAACCTAGGAAGTGACACGTGCCAGACGTGCTCTTTCTATCAATAGTGCAACCAGCATAATCAGAGTCTGAGTAGCTGATTAGCTCTAAGGAAGAATTACTAGGATACCACAAACCTAGGTCTGAGGTGCCACAGAGATAACGAAAGATTCTCTTTACTGCTGAGAGATGACTCTCTTTGGGAGAGCTTTGGAAACGAGCACAAACACAGACACTAAACATGATATCAGGTCGACTAGCTGTTAAATACAGTAAGGAACCTATCATTCCTCTGTAAAGCTTGTCATTAACAGGAACACCAGACACATCTTTGTCTATTTTGATGGCAGAAGCCATAGGAGTTACAGCAGATTTGAGATTGCCTAAATCAAAACGTTTGAGCATGTTTATCAAGTATTTCGACTGATTTATAAAGATTCCATGAGATGTTTGTTTGATCTGCAGCCCTAGAAAATAATTGAGCTCACCCATTAAACTCATTTCAAAAGCATTTTTCATTTTAGACTCAAACTCTCTACACAAACTTTCACAAGTGGCTCCAAAGATGATATCGTCAACATACACTTGAACCAGAAGAATGTGATTATTTAGATGCTTGACAAACAAGGTTTTATCCACCAGACCTCTCCTAAAGCCATTTTCAAGCAGAAAAGAACTAAGTTTGTCATACCAGGCCCTAGGGGCTTGTTTCAAACCATACAAGGCCTTTTTTAGTTTATACACATGGTTAGGATATCTATGGTCTTCGAAACCTGGAGGTTGAGCTACAAAAACTTCTTCTTTTAAGTCCCCATTCAAAAATGCACTCTTAACATCCATTTGATATAGTTTAAAACCTTTTGAACTAGCATAAGCACATAGCAATCGAATGGCTTCTAAACGGGCTACAGGAGCAAAAGTCTCCTCATAGTCTATCCCTTCTTCCTGACAGTATCCTTGAGCAACTAATCTGGATTTGTTTCTGACCACAGTGCCTACCTCATCAGATTTGTTTTTGTATATCCACTTGGTGCCTATTATTACCCTATTTTCAGGTTTTGGAACAAGTTCCCACACATTGGCACGCTCAAACTGATGCATTTCATCAAACATAGATGCAGTCCAGAATTCATCTTGCAAAGCTTCATTCACATTCTTAGGTTCTACTAAAGACACATAAGCAACAGTAGAAGGAGGAATTTTTGACCGAGTAATCATACCTTGAGTTATGCTTCCTATTATCTGTTCAGGAGGATGTCGTTTGACAATGTAGGCTGGAGGATGTACTCCTGAATCAGCTCCATTAGTTCCTTCTTCAGGCTGTGTCTGACTGTCTTTCACATTACCAGTTGTTTCCTCAGATTGTTGTCCAACTGTCACATCACTTTCTTTGGCGGTAAGTTGCTGCCTCCCAAGTCCAAAGTCGTCATCATCAACATTATCTGTTCTCACAGCAGTAGAGTCATCAAAAATAACATTGACGGACTCCTCAACCTTGAGGGTCCGTTTATTGAACACACGATAAGCCTTGCTGGTGTTTGAGTAGCCTAGGAACACTGATTCATCAGATTTTGAGTCAAATTTTCCTAGATGATCTTTGGTGTTCAGAACAAAACACTTACACCCAAAAGCATGAAAATAACCTAGATTAGGTTTTCTTCCTTTCCAGATTTCATAGGGGGTTTTGTTAACACCTGATCTAATTAAGGCTCGATTGACAGTGTAGCAAGCTGTGTTAATAGCTTCTGCCCAGAAATACTTTGGAATACCATAATCATTCAACATAGTTCGAGCAATATCTATGAGAGTTCTGTTTTTCCTCTCCACAACACCATTCTGTTGTGGTGTCCTCGGAGCAGAAAAGTTATGAGAAATACCTAGGTCATTGCAATACTGGTCAAAAGATTCAGAACTAAATTCTCCTCCGTGGTCACTTCTGATGCTACAGACCTTAGCTAACTTTTCATTCTCAATTCTTTTAACCAGAACTCTAAAGTTTTCAAAAGCCTCATCCTTTCTACTGAGAAATAGAACCCAGGTAAATCTAGAATAGTCATCAACTACAACAAAGGCATATGATTTACCACCATAACTGACTACATTAGTAGGACCAAACAAGTCCAGGTGCAATAGTTCTAGAGGCCTTGATGTAGATATGACTGTTTTAGACTTGAAACTAGACCTGGTCTGTTTACCCCTAGCACACGCATCACAGAAAAAGTCCCTCTTTTCATTTATTTTTGGAAGCCCTTTTACTAAATTTAATCTAACCAATTTAGACAGAACACTAACATTAACATGTCCCAGTTTTCTATGCCACTCTTCCTGATCACTTTTATCTAGACTGATCAAGCAAGTCTCATTGAAACTGTCCTTATCATTTAGATCAATAGTGTATATTTTCCCGTTTCTTTGACCAGTAAACACCACTTGGTTGTTCAGGATGTTTTCTACATAGCAACAGTTAGGTTCGAACACTACCCTGCAATTCTTTCCACACATTTGACTGATAGACATGAGGTTATGTTTTAAGCCATCAACTAACATGACATTTTTAATGCAAGGATCAGTTCCCACTTGACCTTTACCAATGATGTGAGCAGAGTTGTTGTCTCCAAAATATACTTTTCCAAAGTCTCTCAGACTTAGACTAGAAAACAGTTTCCTGTTACCTGTCATGTGATGGGAGCACCCGCTATCCATGATCCATCTGGTCTCCTCAGTGCTCACTTGCAAACAACTCTGCAAACACAAATTTCATTTGGTTTTCCGAACCCAGATCTTCTTGGGTTCGTGTGATGTATTTGAACTAAACACTTGACTATTCCATTGTTGCTTGTGTTTCCTGAACCAACCAGACCCTTCTCTCCTAGCTTCTGACCACAATCTTTTCCTACATACTTTAATAATGTGCCCCTTTTGATGACAATAATAGCATTCTACATTTTTTAGGTTTTCATTTTGTCTGATTGAGGTTATTCTGGATCTATGTCTTGTAGGCTGATTACTTTCTTCTCTACATTGATCATGTACAACCTTGATTTCCAACCTACTTATTTTCGTTCTGAGTTCACTAGCTTCATTTTTACTAGCTTCTAGTTCCTTTTCCAATTCAGCTATTCTTGTCAGATGCTCTAAGTTTTCTCTTTTCATTTTACTATATCTCATTTTCACATTTCCGAATTCTACTTCGATGTCTCTGATCGTGTTCATTAGTAGCTCATTTTCACTCAAACTTTCTGACTCATGTATAGATTCAGTGTCACTTACCTGTCTCAGGTTGCTGTTTGGCTCGATTGACTCATCTTCTAGATCAGCAATGGCCATGAACGATCTTTGGACAACCACCTCGTCATCTTCATCCATTTCATCTTCACTGCAGCTCCAAGTAGCTGCCAGGGCTCTCTCTTTCTTGAGTTGTGGGCATTCAGCCTTGATATGTCCTGCTCGTCCGCATTTGAAGCATCCTGTTGTGTTGACACTCCTGTTGTTCTGGCTCACATCAGTTCTGCTTCTCGAGAAGGACCTGAGCTGATTCCCTTTTACTCCGTTTTCACTTCTATCAAGATCCTTGACCTTGCCTCCAGAATTGCCATACTTCTTTTCCCTTCGAATTTTGAGCAGTCTACTGACTTGCTTACTCAGCAAGGCCAGTTCTTCGTCTTCCATATCATCTAACTCTTCTGAGTCTTCCAACGATGTGATAGCTTTGAATGCAACTCCTCTTTTTCCCTTGTCATGACTTTCTTTTTCTTGTCCAGCCTTGTTTAATTTGTCTTCATGAGCAACCAGTGACCCAACCAGCTCATCCACTGACAATTTTTCCAAATCTTTTGCTTCTTCTATAGCCGTAATCTTCGGTGTCCACTTTTCTGGTAGGCTCCACATGATCTTTCTTACGAGATCCCCACTTTCATATGACTTTCCCAGATTCTCGAGGCTGTTCACTATGTTAGTGAACCTCTCGTACATCATTCTGATTGATTCTCCTTCTTCCATCTTGAATAACTCGAACTGGTGCTTCAAGGAGTTTATCCGAGAGGTTTTAACCTGTGACGTTCCCTCATACGTTACTTGAAGCTTATCCCAGATTTCTTTCGCAGTTTTGCACCCAGCTACCTTGTGGTACTCTTCTGGACCAAGAGCACAGTACATAAGATTCGTGGCTTTGCAGTTCTGCTGAAATTTCTCGAAGTCTTCATCACTCCATTTTTCTTGATCTTCTTTGAGCTCGTGAGGTCCTTTGATAACCCTTGCCCAAAGTTTTGGGTCAGTCGATCCCACGAACAGCTCCATACGATTCTTCCAGTAACCGTAGTTAACCCCTTCGAATCGTGGCGGCCTATTCTGTGAA